ACTCAGTTTCCTTCTCAAGAGCTCAGAGATCAATACAGGGCTGGCGGTCCTCCTCCAAGGAGTGGACCAAATATGCCAAAGGGAACAGTTATGGTTTGACTCTTTAATGGCCTGGAAAACTTGTGTGTTGAAGACTTGGACCCCAGTGCAAGGGTGTTCAGAGGTGGGGCCCCTGGCGGGTACCTGGATCATGAGGGTGCACACTTTATGAATGGATTGATCCATTTAGGGTTAATAACTCACTATTGGGAGGTGGTAGAGACCTTGGGAGATGGGGCCCAGTGGGAGGAAGTAGATCCCTGGGGAGGAGCCCTTGAAGGTATATTTTGTCCCCAGCCCCTTCTTCTCTGTCTCTGTCTCTGTTTTCTGACCTCCAGGAGGTAAGAGCTTTCCTCTAAATGTACTTTAGCCGTGCCGGACTGCCCCACCACAGGCCCAGAAGTAACCAGGCCAAGCAACCATGGACTGAAACTGTGAAACAAAACAAACCTTTCCTCCCTTTAATTATCTTGGGTATTTTATTACAGAGATGCACAGCTGACTAATGCAGAAGCTCAGTCTGATGTTGTCACAGGTAGGAAAGCAAATTGGCCCTGAGAGTCCCATTGGTTGACTATTACTTGTGGACATTACTTAAAGAGAACAATTTTGTTTTCCAATTTTAAATTAATTGCTGATATTAAAACATCAGGAGATTTTATGTTTTTTAAAAATTCAGATATCCAAGAATTGGAAAAGCCAATATCAGATGGATTGCATTCTCAAAGGGAACAATGAACTAGCACCAAGCACAGACTGTCACTGACTTGAAACAAGAGGGGGTCTTACCAGTTTGCCATAGTCTCCACTATTTCTTGTCACTTAACTGTCTCGGGTTCATCATTATGTAAGTTTCAATAAATGTTCTATTTTATTTTCAGAATATTACAACATTCTTACGTGTGCTGAAATCACAAGTTTCCTTCTTGTATCCTTTTGGTAAAATGTTGCCTAGTGCATCAAAGCTGATCTTAGAAGATGTCCTTGCTTTGCAGTTACCTTGTGTATATTTTCATCTGCTGATTGGATAATCCTGGCACCTATAAACTTTGGGTTTGGGGTCTCTGCTAGGACTTATAGAATAACTGGCCAGCCGGGAAATTAGCAGGGCATTATGACTAATGAGAGTACAGAAGGAATATGTGGCCTGAATTCCACCCACTGTTAAGCCAAAATGACACCTAGACCAGGCTCCCAGGGAAGAGGTAGTATCGTGGGCATGTCGTCATTAGAATCCCTTAAGAATTAGGATCTTCCATCCCACATCTATGACACAATAAAGTTTTCATCTGGCAAAGGAGTTGGCAAATCTTGGCCGACAAGAAGGTCACCTGTTTTTGAGAATAGCGTTCTATTGGAATAAAGCTATAGCCATTGGTTTCTATGTTGCTTATAGTTGCTTTTGACTTAAGAGGTCAGCACTGAGTAGTTTCATCAGAGACCATGTGGCTGGCAAACCCCAAAAATTTATTATCTGCCCTTTATAGAAAAGCTTGCCAAGCCCTGGTCTAGCACCTTGGGTTACAAGGAATAGACACCTACGCAGATTAGCTCCAGCAAAGTCTGTCTGCGGTCAGGACATAACAGGGAACATGCTAGATGCCAAGCACCTGAGCCTCAGAGAAATCAGGCCTCAGGGGAACTAAAACTGTAACTGCACATCTTTCTTGTGGGCTTTCTGCTTTTCTCTGTTTCTTCCCTGTTCTTTTTTCACTATCCAATTTCTTCCACTTATTCGTCTTCCCCTAGCTTTGCAAAAAGCCCCTCAGGATGCCCGGGCCCCTTCTATATCACACAATCCCAAACAGCCTTTCAGCTTTGGTTTCCCTTGAACTCCAGCCTCTGAGTTTCCCAATTCCAAACTTATGGGAGGAATTTGATTGGCCCAGATGATCTTTTCAAGCCCATAGGTCTTGGAGATCCCTGGGCCAGACTGTGGTTGTCCCCACCCCCTGGAACAGGTCCCCACTCCTGGACCAATATCAAGACATTCAGCAGGCACAGTGGGCATGGAACCCACATTTAAAAGGGAACAGAGGGCAGAAGCCAGAACCTAGCTGCCTTCACCACGAGGAGGAGAGCCCTGGTCTTTTCTTAAAGCCAAACAACAACAACAACAACAACAACTACAACAACTTTTCTTCTAAACCTTCTTATTTACATCATGACCGAAAAGCTAATGTCTGAATTTTCAGTATGTCCCCTGTGAGAAGGGAACCAGAGCCCACTGGAGGCATAAGGTCAGCACAGGGAGAGAAGAGCTAGCTCAACTGTGGCATTTGGTGGGATATGAAATTTTGGCCTGGTCTTCTCCAAACTAGCAGAAGAAGGGAAAGAGGAAAACCAGCCTGGCAGAACTTGCCCTGATTCTACCATAAACAACTGATGATGAACATGCTAGTTTTCTTCCTCCTGTTCTACCCCAGGCCTCAGTTTCCCCATTGATCAAACGATTGGACCGAATTAGAACAGTGGTCTTAGACTGGCTGCTACAGCCAAACCTCGTGGAGAACGTGCTAAAGCACATACAGGTGGGTTCACCAGTTTCCCTGCTCTGGGTTGAGACCTAAGAATTTGCATTTCTAGCAGGTTGCCAGGAGATGTGGGTGCTGCAGATCTAGGACCACACTTTGAGACTCCCTGGTGTAGATCATCACCAAGACTCCCTCCGATCCTAATAGGCCAGTCTATTCTCCTCCTGGGTTAGGGTTGATAAGATTCCTGGTCAGTGTAGAGGACATGGGCTGTGGGCCAAGGAAACCTCCTGCCTGGGTTAGCAGGCCTTTCCTGAGCCTGCTAGAGACCAGACTGTGCCCCCAGCATGGCCACCTTTCCTTCCTTTCACCACTACAAAAAAAACATGTTGCCAGAATCCTAGGCTCCAGAAATACCCAGCCGCCTTCCCAGTCTACTGGAAAATGTTGACTTTCTATTTCTCCCCTTGGCCAAATTTTGTGGGCAGCGTGGCTCCCGGACACGTAGGCCACACAATTGGCTCTCACAACTCACTTCCTCAAAGGTGATCCCATGTCGTTCTGCTGTCCATGATAAACAGCTCCAGACTGGGCAGCCCAAACCCAGGGGAAGCCAGCCTGCTGTGGATCTGGAAAGTTCCCCACAGGCAGAGAGATGGCAGCTGCTCCTCTGGCTCAGGCGGAGGCCAAGCCACAAGCTGGGGGGACAGCTCAGAGCTCAGGCCTCCAACTAGTGCTGCAAATTGCCCCTGCAGGGCCCAGCCAGGTCGGGGAAGGAGCCCAAGGAGCTGGAACTCTGAGTGACAGCTGAGCGGGAGACACCCTTCATCATCCCGCTAAGTCACTAAGAGGTTTCTGAAACAGGTGGCTCAAATTTCCTTGAAAACCCAGAATAATCCCCCATTTGAAGTGTGCGCGAATCTTGTTGTCACCACCTAGTATTAATGGGCAGGCACCACAGAGGGAAAAAGGGGTTTTCGGCTGCATTTTTGCACACTGACTGCCTGACAAGCTCAATAAAAGCTTAAACAAATATTAAAAAACACACAGAGAGTCAGGCTGGTTTAAATTAACTTCCCAAGCACTTTACCTACTGTAGGAAGAAATTATAATAAAATGTCAGAGCAAAAATAAACCGCACATGGAAATAAAAATAAAACATAAAATGCCCTCTTACAACCAACTGTTCAGTACGATTTACTTCATAACAACATATCATTGTACATGAAGTTTTCATAGTCCTGAAGTGTATTTGGGCATTAGAAATGTTGACTTTGAAAAATTCATATTTTACACGCTGGGAATCTATTTCTTTTCCCAGAAATCTTAAAGATGTAAACCACTTTGAAACAAAACAAACCACCACCCCCCACCAAAAAAAAAAAAAAAAAAAAGGAAAAAAAATCCTCCTTTGTTAACTCTGACATAATTCTTCCAAATAGATGACCCCAAGTCCCATTTCTCTTAGGCATTCGCAGTTGTAGCCGCTGCTTGGGCTCCGCACTTGGAGAAGAAGGAAGGACTTTGGGGTGGAGACAGATGGGTTCTATTCAGGCCATCCTAGGCCTCACAGAGAGGAGAGGTTGGTGGGGGGAAAGACATTCTGAAGTCCTTGGGCCACAGCTTGTAGAATCTGCCAACCTTGGTGCTTCGATGGGAGCCAGATAAAATTGAGAGGCTAACAGAGGCAAGGTGGCTTGGAACACTTCTTTACTGGATGGAATAAAGAGGAAGACAGAAGGCAGAGGAAGGAGGGAGAAAGGCAAGAAAAGGGAAAGCAGAGAGGGGAGGAGGGAGGCCCAGGGCAAGCCCCTCCTGCCCAGTTAGCCCATCTTGTGTGAATTTTCTCACAAGCTGATCTGCCCTGGCTTTCTTTCTTTTTTCTTTTTTTTTTTTTTTAAGCATTTATTTTTTAGTTTCAGGTGGACACAATATCTTTATTTTACATTTATGTGGTGCTGAGGATTGAACCCAGGACCTCGTGCATGCTAGACGAGCGCTCTACCACTGAGCCACAACCCCAGCCCCTGCCCTGGTTTTCTAACCAAAGAGAGTGTGGGCTGAGAAAGATCTCGAGGGCCTACATGGCTCTCCCTCCCCTGCCAGATTTCTGTCACACCTCAAAGGTGATTTTCTGGGAAAGGGTTTCCTGGCAGGGCCTGGGTGGAGCAGCCTGGTACAGCCTTCGGTATCTGGCTCGCAGTAAGAGTTTCCAGGGGGAACTATCCTGGCATCCGAAAAGCCAGCCTCCCCTTCCTCCAGCATCCTGTCAAGGACTCCCATGGAGCCCTCCTGCATGAGCGGAGCCAGAGGAACCCCAGGAGGGCAATGGAAAGAGAACCAGTCACCAGTGGACACAGGTACATACATAACACATGCAAGTTCAAAAGTGTGCGTCTCCATATGTAGATGTGTGTGTGTCAAGGCCTGTGCATCTTTCCTACTGAGTTAATCACAACCTTCCCAAGGGACTAGAAGATGACTCACCAGCTGGCAGAGTGTGGACAGCCATGCCAGGGACACCAAGCCCAGCCACCTCTCCAGAATAGACTAGAGGCCTGGGTAGAACCACAGACCAAGCACGAGAAGGTCCAATCCAGAGAGCAAACACAGACTTAAAAATGCAACTTATTTCTCTAATCTGCTTGTGCTGATTGTGCCAGAAACAAATACCAGCAGGCCTGGAAAAAATGTTTCTGTTCATTTGCCTCGGCTCTGAGCCACCCTCCCTAAAGGGGAAGGAAAAAGAAGAGGAACAGATTCTGGGGCTGTTTTGTCTGGCTCGCTGGACCCTTCTGCCCCTTTGCCTCTGGGAAGGAGGGAAAGGGGTTATCTGGAGCCCCCCGCCCGCCCCTTCACTCAGGACCTGAAACAGCCCCTTCAATTTCCCACACACAAAAAAGGTTTGAGAAGCGGAAACTGGCCGTGGCTCCCCAGGGCAGAAATTGAGAGCTCAACTCTAAACCACTTCCTTTGCCTGGTAACAATGCACGGAGGAATTTCCACAAATCCCCTTAGCTGTCATGGCTTCCGCTCCTCAATTTGGGAAAAGACAGCCTGGGACATTCCAACCCCCAACCCGCACCCCGTTTGATCTGTTTGGCTCCTGGACGGGCCTTGGAGAGCAGCATACGTTTCCCTTCCCTATGTTTCCTCCAGGAGTTGAGAAGCGTCCAAGTCTGACCAAGTGTGGGAAGCAGCCCAGCCCAGCCCAGCAGCAGCACCCAGAGGCTGTTCTCCAGCCCTGGAGAGGAAAGGCGCTTCAAGGCAGGGACCAGCAGGACTCCGAAGGTGGTGTGCAGCGTTAGGGCTTGAACTGACCCACACCCGTGGCTGGGATCCACCACTGCCTAGCTGTGTCACTTTGGGAGGTTACCTGAGCTCTCTGATGATTAAAGTTCCTGTGAGAGTGACCCTGAGGGTCCTAGGATGGAGGTTTTTAAAGCCCTTATCACAGTGTCTGGCACATCTCAAGAACTTGCTAAACATGAGCTATTGCAGTCAACCAAAGATCTACACTTGAAGACTCCCCAGCCTTCAGCAGCAGACCTTGATGCTCTTACTGCCCAGGAATAGTTTCCACCCCGGCATGTACAAAAACCACGGTTGCTACACAGCTCGGTTCAGCTCACATGCTCTAGCCCATGAGGTCCCTTGGAAAAGTACCCCATGTCCATGCCAATGTCCATGCCAGCGGTGCTTCCCACTGATCCTCTGGGAGCTTCCTGCACATTCTCAGGGAACTAATGGAATGCTGGACTCTGAACAGAGGCTGGGAGAATGGTGTCCTGAACCTCACTTGGCTATTTTATCACTGTAACAAAATACCTGGCAAAATCAACTTAATGGAGGAAAGATTTATTTTGGCATTGGCTTCAGAGGTTTCAGACCATGGTTTGTAGACTTGATAACAACTATGTTCCCCCAAAATTCATATGCTGGGTCTAAATCCCAATGTGACTATACAGCCTACAAGGAGGTAATGAAGGTTAAATGATGTCACAGGATGGGGTTTTAAATGGGTGTCCTCAGAAGAAGAGGAAGAGACACTAAAGAGCTGTGTGTGTGTGTGTGTGTGTGTGTGTGTGTGTATGTGAGAGAGAGAGAGAGAGAGAGAGAGAGAGAGAAGAAAAGCCCATGTGAAGATAGAAAGAAGGCAGTCATCTATAAGCAAGGAAGAGAGGCCTTATCAGAGACCAACCCTTCCAAGCACTTTGATCTTGAAATGCAGCCTCCAAAACTATGAAGAAATAAAATACATTTTTACTGCTTAAACCAGTCTATGGTATTTGTTACAGCAGCTTCCTCAAACTCATACAGAGGGAGAAGACTGAATCAGTGGTGTGTGATGTGGGAGCATGCATGAGTGGTGCCTCAGAGACTAGGTCCTGGGAGCTGGGGAACTGGCACCTGGTCCTTCACACCTACTTCACTGGGACCAGCACCTATTTGGGCGGTTTTTTACATGGGGGTTTAGGGGACTTTTTCTCATTTGTTTGTTTGTTTAAGGAAGTTCCTTTGCTGAACAAAGCCCATGCCTGTCATGCTAACAGTATTCTATTCCGTATTGAAGGACTAAGGAGTCACATGACTTACAGGCCTGCCCAGCTTGAAGGGTCTGTGGCTTGGGAACAATTTTTGATGCCAACACTAATGGTATATTTAGCAACTCCCTTAAGGCTATCTTACAAACCTTACATACATAGACAATTCAGTCCTTCCCCAGGCCCCACAAGGTAGGTACCACCACTCCATCACATGCTCAGGGCCACGCAGAGTGATCATTGATTCCAAAGCTTGTGACCATAATCTACCATCCTAGAAAAGGCAGGGGAAGTCGCCAGGCAGCCATTCTTCAGCAAGGGTCCCCCTCAGGCTCCTCACGGTCAGAGATCTGTCATATATCATGAGGAATCTGCCTCCACCATCTCAGGACCAAACTCAACAAGTGGGTGTCCTAATTGTCCCCAGGATCCTGCACACCTCATCAGTGGGCTTTCAGATCTGTTGCTGCAACTTATTTCTGTATCTTATGCTACATGTTTGGATTTTGACCTCCAATAAACACTAAAATCGTTGTATATAAAAGGGGAATTGGTAATTTTGAACTTGGCAAGTAATACTTAATGTTTTCTTGTGGACAGCAGGACTAACAATATCACATTAAATATTCCAGCCCTTCAAGAAAGGATAGGTAGCCAGGCACGGTGGCGCATGCCTGTAATCCCAAAGGCTTAGGGGGCTGAGGCAAGAGCATTGTGAGTTTGAAGTCTGCCTTAGCAACAGTGAGGCATTAAGCAACTCAGTGAGACCGACCCCATCTCTAAATAAAACACAAAACTTACACGGCATGTGTGAGGCACTGGGTTTGATCTTCAGCACCACATTAAATATAAATAAGTAAAATAAAGTTAAAAAAAAAAACAACATACGGAGGGCTGGGGGTGCAGCTCAGTGGTAGAGCACTTGCCTGGTCTGGCAAGGCCCTGGGCTCAAGCCTCAGCACTGCAAATGAACAAACTGAAAATAAGATAAAAGAAGAAACTAGAAAAACAACTTACTAAGAGAAGATACTCGAAGCATATTTAACTAACAAAGGATGAGTATAAAGGATATATAAAGTACTCCTGTACATCAAAAGAAAAAGCAAAATAAACGATGAGCAAGAGCAAAATCCTTGAGAAAGCATTTCACACCAAAGGAGACACAATAGACACACATGGCCTGTCAGTGTGTGCAAATATATTTAATTTCCCATTACTAATAAGAAAAATACAAATTAAAATCTTGATGAGAAGAAAACCAATCTCCAAAGCCCAAAGGCCAAATATTTTCTCTAATATGTATATGCTGATCCATAATGGGGGCGACAGGGTGGCAGGGAAGAATGGAGGAACTTTGGATTGAGCAGAGTGGGGCTGGGTGTGTAGAAGATGGTGGAATGAGATGGACATTATTACCCCTATGTCTGGGTATGACTGCACGAATGGCGGGACTCTACATCATGCACAACCAGAGAAATGAAAAGTTGTGCTCTATTTGTATAAACAATTAAATTTAATTAAACAAAAACGTTTATACACATTCAATAAAGATATATTTGTATATAAAAAATGGGAAAAAAAGAAAAAAAAATCTTGATGAGATACTTTTTCATAACCCCCAGATCTACCGACTATAATCAGAAAATCAGACATTATCTGCTTCTAGAACAACAAGGATGGAATGAGCAGCAATAGAACTGCCATCTACTTCCCATGGAAGAACAGGTGGATAAAACCACTTTGGAGGGACTGGGGATGTGGCTCAAGCAGTAGCGCACTCGCCTGGCATGCGTGCGGCCTGGGTTCAATCCTCAGCACCACATACAAACAAAG